GTGTCCCAGCTATGAAATGGCCTGACTTAACCCCCTTTTCCAAGCCATAACTTTTTTTTTAAGGGAGGGAGAGAGGCAAGAGAGGGGAGAGGGAGAAGGAGAGAGAGAATCCTAAGCAGGCTCCACACCCAGCACAGCCCCAAGATCATGACCTAAGCTGAAATCCAGAGTCGGACATTTAACCAAATGGCCCCCCAGGCACTCCCAAGACATAACTTTCTTATTCATGCTTAATTAAGAGCAAACTTTCCAAATATAATCAGAAAATATCTAAAAACTGCCCTAGTTGGACCAGTGAACAGTAATGATTCTACATTTTCTTTTTAAATAGTCAACATCTGTCATCCTTGTAATGTGACTGATTATCCACCCATTAATACTATTTGGGTCCTGATAATTCATTTTAAAAATGTATTTACATCTGAAGAACAAGTATATGTGATATTCTGAAGAAACTTTTTTTTTAAATAATAAAGCTACCTTTCTCCATTTAAGATTGTTTTTACTAGGTTTCGACATTATACTATCATTGAAGATTTTCTACTAAGAGAATATTAGAATTGCAAGTGGACCTTAGACCACCTCCAATTTTACACATAAAAAACCAAGAGCAAATAAAGTAGAGACTTGCTTAAGGTCACAAAACTACTAACTGAAAAGACCTGTGGCTTAAACCCTCAGACATTTATAAACTCTGGCTCTCTTTCATAATTTAGTCCAGAGGGACCTTAATGGTCTAAACATCCCATGGGACACTGCACTAGGCCCCTTACACTAAAGGGGCCATGTTGATACAATGTGGAGAATAGGAAAATATGAGATTTATATATTTTATTTTTTTTAAAGATTTTATTTATTTAACAGAGAGAGACACAGCGAGAGAATGAACACAAGCAGGGGGAGTGGGAGAGGGAGAAGCAGGCTCCCTGCTGAGCAAGGAGCACAATGTGGGGCTCCATCCCAGGACCCTGGGATCATGACCTGAGCCGAAGGCAGATGCCTAATGACTGAGCCACCCAGGCACCCCGATTTATATATTTTAAACATGCTACTAGTTTAATATGCTACCTTACATATATATTTACTGCCATAAAAACAACGGATATACCTTCTGCTTCCATTTTACCCAAAATGTAGAATTTAACTAATACACAGTTTTGTTTTGTTTTTCTGTAACTCATAGCTTACTCTAAATGGCCAATTTGTGCAATCCAACCCACCCCTGCAATTACTTACAGACCTATACTTTGGGTCAATTCATGTCTCTAAAGTTGTATTTTTAAAGATATTACCTAGGGTGTCATGCTGAAATTGGTTAATCTACACATTAAAGACTCTTTTTTAATAGATGACTAGAAAAATATGCTAGACTTAGTACATTTAAAGAAATCTCAATCAAAATATTTTAAAAACTTAAAATTACAGAAGTATAAGACATACAGAGAGTCACTAATCTCACCCTATTTTTTTTTTGTCTCACCCTCTCTTTAGAAAGGAATGTGTTTTGGGGCACCTGGGTGGCTCAGTCAGTTAAGCATCTGCTTTTGGCTCAGGTCATGATCCTGGGGTCCTGGGATCCAGTTCCGCGTCAGGTTCCCTGCTTAGCAGGGAGTCTGCTTCTCCCTCTGCTCCTCTGCCCCCCAAGCTTGTGCTCTCTCTCTCTCTCTAATAAATCTTTTTAAAAAAAAAAAGAATGTAAAGCTTTATCTTAAAGCCTCCACACAAAAGTAACATATACACATATCTAATTTAAAAATCTAAAAATATCTACCTTTAATACCACACTTAATTTAACAAAATACATTTCTAAAAAAGCCAGGATTCAAGAACCTCAACCAGAGAATTAAAAATCAAATCTAAAACAGGCATATAATATCTTTATATTTATTCTAAAACATTCCAGAATCAATCTGAGAATTACCAAAATTCCAAGGAAGCATAGCAGTCCTATACATTATAACAAAACGGACATACCACTGAAGCTTCTAGGCTCAATTAGTCTTGCTGAGCCAAGGAATCTGAGTAAAGGAAGGAGGGTCCTGAGCAAGAGAATGACATAAACAGAAAAGAAAAGAAAAAGTGGGGATGACAGATTAAAAGTTGTTATACCCACATATAAACACAAATAATCTGTTGTCACAGATAAATCTTTTTTCCTAAACTTTGGACTTTCCTCTCCAGCTCAGTTTCAAAAGGAAAATTAGAAGAAAAGTTAAAGAAAAAACCTAAGCTATAAATTAGAAGGCCAAATGGCATAACCAATCAAAGGATAGGTATTCAAGGAACAGTTTGAATCAAGCCTTTAGCTTTAAATGCTAACTATATCCTCATTAATTTTAAGCATCTTAGTAAGTTGACAAAAATACAAATTTTCAAATTCATACTTTCAAAATAGAAAATATGTTAATAAAAAAACTACTAGCACAATTTTAGCAAAATATACATGAAATTAATCACTTATCTAAAGGAATTTGTGTCAGCCGAATTCAAACTACTTAAATTGAAACTTCATCTTATGAATTACTGTAAAAATTTATGAAGTGAAAATGAACATTTTTATAAATTTTACTATAATTTTTAAAAAGTGAATGCAATAAGTGAAGAAAACATTAATTTTTAAGGTATCAAAATGCTTTTATAGAAAGCACATTAGATCTTTATGGAATTCTTAAATTACATGGTATTAAATCCCTATTTGTTAGTTCAATTGTTATTGAGTATGGTATGCTGAGACCACGGTTGCCAAGTCAGTGGAGGTTTTTTGGTGGCAACTCATTTTAGTGACAGACTGCACTATTTTCCACATGGTTGGAAACTTAGAAGGATTACTCAAAAGTGTATGGATTTAGAAGTCTAACATTATTTCAAAATAAAAGGTTATAGATGGATCAATTCAATTCCATTTTATTTTTATTAAAAAAATGAGGACACATTTTTGTTCCTAGAAGTTAAATATATAATGTGTAAAAAGTGTTGGTACAGGGTGTTTCACAACTTTTAGTAATACTGTGGAGGGCAGTATTGTTTTTAATTATGTAATTAAAAATAATTTTTTTAAATATTTTGTTGAACACAAAATTCTCTGAATTTAGAATAAAGATATCCACAATACAACCAAAATCTTGTATGCCACTACACAATACACTGCTATTCCCTACATAAGGTCTTCTATAAGCTTTCATCCAAAATGTTACAATTTGAACACAGAAATCATATTTTCTTTCCTCATTTTTTTTTTTGTTTTACCAACGATCAGATAGTAAAATAAAATAAGACACAACCCAGCATTAATATAGAAATCTGGACAGATTTTACAATTATTTGATTTGTATTCACAAACACTCCTTAAAACATGTCTGTTTCCTAACAACAAAAATGACAGCATTAAAAATACGAGGCTTAATTTCAGTCCATAAATTCGGCATACTCTCATAATTGTTAACTCATAATACATCCAATAATACACGTTTATATTCCAGATGTTGATATGTATTATAATCTTTGGCAATAATGTTCAAGTCCAATACTCCACCCTCTAAAGTGAAAATTAGTAATTAGAGCAGTGTCTTAAACAGAAACTAAGGTGCTGCTAGTATTTAGCAATTGCAGCCATCTTTATGTCTATTATGGCATATAGGTGCAAACAAATTTTTAAAAAGAAACTTTTAGATGTGTACCCTGGAAAGAAGGCAATCATTACAGCTGAGAAGGAGCTTTAATTCTGAAAATCTCTGAATGGAAGTCTGTCCGACTGCTCAACATTTGGACATTGTAGTGATTCTTGAAATGAAAATATCTTCCTATTATTCAAATAAGGAAAATTCTACCGACATATGCGTATGTTATTTATATATTAGTGTACTTAAACATTCAATATATCCTGCTTCCTGTTTCTAACGCCAGTCTCAAACACAAAGTGGAACAGATCTGTAAAGAGAAGCCAAGTCTTAAAAAGCTCCTCCTGATATTCCCTCGACAATACTGGCCTATATTAAAATCATCGTATATTATAAAGGCTATGTATTATTTGTCAAGAATCTAAAGAGAGAGCTTAACGAAACTTCAACGTTAACTAAATTCACAAAGGAAGAAACTGGTGCTCAATTAACTGGTCCTGGCTTCCCAAGGATCTTAGAATTAACATCAATGCCACGATTAAGTCCCGGGTCTCTGACTCCAGGTTTCGTGGTCTTTCCAGGACTCCAAAGAAAATACTCTAAAAAGTTTGTAATTAAAACTATCTGACGTTAGGAAACACAGATGATTCTATTGCGTGTTATTACCGTCCATGGCTGCCTGCCGCGCGTGTCGGGGGGAGAGGGGGTCAATTATCTTTCCCGCACACCCGCAACCTCCCACTGTTCAAAACCCTACACACGAGAGAGTACTTGGGGAATAAATAGAAAGAGTGAAGGGCAGAGGAAAGTTCGAGGCTCATCCCCAGTTAGAACTCAGTGAAAACGACCTGATAGCCAAATCTCACCCAGCAGTCGGGACGCCCCGGACGTCGTCCCAAAGCCTCTAGAAGGGACGCGCGGGCGCGACAACGGCCAGACGCCCTTGACGTGTGGCGGTCGACGGACGCAGTGTTAGAACATGGAGGGCAGCAGGTGGGAAGCAGCCGGAAGGTGGCGGGGGAGAGCGGAAATAAGGCAGAGAGAGGGCAGGGCGCCGGGGGGCGGAAGGAGCCGCCAAAGGGCCCCCGACGACACGGGGAACTGGGCGCCAGACGGCTGGGACCACGCGGCGCAAAGGATGACAGCAGGAGCTATCCAGTCAAAGATGCCCTCTGGGGCCGGGAAGCCGAGCCTATGATGCTCGTCGGGGCAGGGGAGTGAGAAGGGCGAATCCCGCAGACACTGCCTCCAGTGGGGCGTGGGTCCCCACTGCGTATCTGGCGTGACAGTGTGTCGGACAGGACCTTTTGCGGCCGGGAGGCAGGGTCTCCAGCCGTTACCAGCGGTTTGGCAGTGACCCCGCTGTCCCCATCCCCTCCTCACCCCTTCGGGTCTTCAAATGTTGGTCCTAAATCCCTGGGACCAACGACCACAAACCGCCGCCACCGTATCGGGGACCAGTCGGTCGGAGCGGGAGGCGTGGGCGGGGGGGGTTGCCACAGGGGGAGGGGAGCCCACGAGGAGGAGCTCGCGCCGTCCTCGCGCCTAGGTTTGTCTCCCAGCAGGCGCTGCGGGCAGCGGCCTAGGCAGCCCCACGAGGAGTGGAGCCTCAACCAATCAGGGACCAGCCCCGGGGAAGAGTCAGGGAGGGGAGAGTGGGCGGGACCAAGGTTTTAATTAGAAGGAGGCTCTCGAAAGGGGGTAAAAGCGGTTGGAGTGACAGGCACTTTAACCAATTGGGATTAGGAGAACGAGTTTTAGGGGGTGGGCGTACATGATGCCAAAAGAAAATGCTGCATGTTTTGTTAAGGTGTTTAAAAACAAAGGCTATGATTTTGACATACTTTTTTTACATCAGGGAAAATATAGGTACATGGTCATGGTTCTCTAACGACTGAGCCATGGTTCTTCTCATTTGACGGAGTTTTCAAGTCTTAAACTCCTAATTTAGACACTTTTAATAAGGGCGTAGGGATGGAGGATGGGAAGGTAGAAGGCTAACAGGCGGATTTGCAAACAGGACTAGACACATAAAAATTAAGTGCTTTAAATGCCTAGGAGAATGGGCTAAATCAGGAGACCTCATAATAGGCCTGATTCCACCGGTAATCAGTTTGGGGGAGAGATGGCGGTGTCGGAGTTGAAGAACCAGGTATTACGCTTGTGTAAAACCAACTTTGGCAGATACAGTTGTGTGTTATTCTGCATACACGCCTTGAATTTTGCTTACTTTGAAGATAGAACATGAGTTTAAATTGCAAAGAAAATAAAAATGGCTTTAGGGACCTATTCTGTTGACTAATAGAAGAACAGGGCTGGAAAGAACCTCGATCACGTAGCTTCTGCTTTAACAAATGAGGGACTTGATGCCCAGAATAATTCACTGGGTTACACAAAGACATAGGTGCCCTCATACCCAACCTCGAGGTGCTTTCTTGCACATTAACTAGTGATTTCAGTTTGTTGTCTCCATATGTTCAAGACACTAACAAATGTCTCAAATTTTGTTAACAAGACATGCTTATGTACTTTTTACCCCTCCTCTCACAGTAGGAATTAACAAGGACTTTGGAGTCTGACAGAGCTGGACTCAAATCCATGTTACCATTTTGTGGTTGTGTCATAACTTCTCTGAGCCTGTTTAAAATGGAGATTGGGAGGATTTTTTTTTTTTTAAGATTTTATTATTTATTTATTTATTTATCAGAGAGAGAGAGGCAGAGGGAGAAGCAGGCTCCCCGCCCCGATGCAGGACTGCATCCCAGGACCCTGGGATCTTGACCTGAGCAGAAGGCAGATGCTTAACCAACTGAGCCACCCAGGTGTCCCAGGGATTGGGAGGATTAATGATAAATAATGTTAACAAATACTGAGCACTTGGTTATGTGCCAGAAACAACTATAAGGTATTTTCACATATTAGTTCATTTAATTCTCACAATAACGTTGGCAAAGGTACTTGCCCCATGTAGCTGCACGTGTCAGATGAAGACAGCCAGACAGAGAGCTTGAGTAGTTTGTTCAAGGTCATACAGCAAGTAAGTTTATTTCTCCTCAGAACCCTGCAAACATAACCACTATGCTATACTGTCTCAAAATGTGTCCAGAGAAACAAGTGGCGTAATGCCCAGAGCATGTTAAGTAGAAGTTTAACAAATATCTTCCTAAACTGTCTGCCCTTCAGTCCATGAATACCACCAATCTCACATATATAGACTATATGCCTATATAAATGATAATGAAATATAAAACAACTAGAAAATCTAGGCATAGAATGTAACTACTTGGCTGTTATTTTGTTTTGTTTTTTTTAACACGTCAATTCTCTACCTCAAGAACTGCAAAGGTGGCAAGCTCTATCATATTGATTACCATTAGTGACTAAACTATTTCTAGGACTTGTTCTAACAGTTAAAGTATTTCTAGGAGTTGCTGTAAGATCCTTAAAACCTCACTAGGTGGAGATGTCACCTTGTGAGGTGCAAAAGATAGTTCCTGGAAGTGGCCTGAAGGGTTATTTTACATTTCTATCTTCCTTTTTAACTTCCACCAGACACCCTCCCCCACCCCCATATAAAGAAAACCAAATAAACAAAGGCTTCTCAACTGGCATTAGCCAGGCCATAGAACGTTGCTTAGATGAAGACAATGCTATTTAAAGACCCTTGCAGTACTTACATTGTATGTCCTTTTGGTCAGATTTCTTCTAAATTTTTTTACTATCCAAAATCTATTAATAGATGTATTTTTCAAATGCTATAAAAACTATATTCTCTGTATATAAAAATAAAGGAATGACTTTTATTTCTCAAGGCTCCTAGAAAAGAGCCTCTTAAATACCTTTACCAACTAGAATTCTTTTTCAGGAATAAATTCCAAATTAGGGTTTGTTATAAGTTTGCAAGTTTATGGGGAAAGGAGATCCAAATTAATAGGAAGAATGAAGATAAGTGATATGGAGGTATTTTTTTTTACTGAAAAGAAGCTTAAATTTGGATACTTGTTGGTAAGGGAAGAAAATAGAAAGGGAGCTCTCTCCATGACTATGGGACCTGGGAAGAAAAGTTATCAATAAAAATTGAAAGGGATGTAAAAAATATAGTTGGTTCAAGTAGTCTAGATATCATGTAAATGTGTTTTTTCTCATATGAAATGCAATTTTTCAGAATAAATATCTTCATATACCTTCTGTAAAAGACAAACCCCCCAAAAAGGGAGAAAAACAAAAGGAAGTCTATATAAATGTTTAAAATCCAACTTAGTCCTGGGGCGCTTGGCC